GGTCATAAATGTCCAGTTCTGAGCCTGTGCCTGGTTGTTAAGCCTTAGTTCTCTACTACAGGCACTGGTCCATTTCAATGGTGCCCATTCAAAGGGACAAAATCTTTATAGGAAGTAGGTAACCCGTTTATTAGTATACGGGCAGTAGTACATCCCTTTGATTAATATATAGTAAGTGTATATTCCACCTAATGTATATGTCATGTAAGCAATAGAGGGCATTCAAAAATACTAACAGAAGGTAATAAAAAGTATACTTTATAAGAGAGATCCACAGAGCCACAGTCCCTTTCACTGTCACTGACAATAACTACACGTACTTTGGCTGATATACTTGGTCTGAGTATGGTGTAAATAAAGCTATCGTTATGTGTGGCCTCAACATGGACCAGGCAGCTTTGTTTAGTTCCATCTTCACAAGCCCTACCCTACAAATGAAGAGTATTTGTCACCTGGAAGATAGAAGGAGGCTACAACTGGCTCAGAACAACCCAAAGCACACAGAGAGACAACAACAACAACAACAACAGAACACCCCACCAAAAAGCACTATGAACTAAAAAGTAAAAGGCCAAAGTGAAAGACACTGGAATTTAGGTATTACACATACATTCACTGCCAAATATGTTAAATACTTATTGTGTCAGATACTGTGCTAAATACTGGAGAAACAAAAAGAGAAAGAGGTAATAGTCTACACCCTCAAAAAAATTTACATTCTAATGGGAGAGAAAAAGATGTGTATAAATAGGTGTACATGTGAATATGTATGTGTGTGTGTATGTATGTATGTATGTGATAAGGCTATAGTAGATAGAAGGTAATCTCAGAGGAAAAGACACTAGCAGTTAAAGGAACCAGAAAGGCCTCCTACAGAAAATGCAGCATCTGAGTTCAGTTGTGAAGGGAGTGAAGGAGTTGACGAAGTCGATGTGAAGGGACTGAGCATTTCAGGCAAGGAGATGGCAGATGGAGTAAGGCTAAACTATGGAGTACAAGGAAAGAAAAAAAGTATAAAACCAGAAAGATAGGAACAGGCCAGGTTTTAAGTGCTAAAGAAAGGAATTCACATTTGATTTTAGAGTTAAGAGGGAGGCACCAGAGTTTGGAGAGCAGAGGAGTGGCACGGTCAGACCTTTGGACCTTAGGACAAACACTTTGGCAGCTGAACAGAGGATGGATTGGAGTGGGGATAGATTTGAGGATGGAAGACCAATTAAGAATTGTTACAATTGTCTGAGCAAGAGGTGATGGGGGCTTGAGCTCGGGAGGCAGCTACGTAAGTGGAGAGAAGGGGATGTATTTGTGAAATGTTGTGGAAATAAAAATAAGATTTGGCAACTGATTAGATATATGGCGTGAGTGGTAGTACTCTCAACAGTCACAGAGAAGTTCAGAAGAGGGGAGGGTTTTGGAGAAAAGATGAGTTCTGTTTTGTTCATGTTGACTTTGAGAAGCTTTTATAGGCCATTCGAGATCCTCCTGGGAACAACAGTGGCCCCAAACCACCAGCCCTGATTCCAGCTCAGCCCTTGAAGCCATTATCCAGGGAATCAACCCCTGCAGACATGCTACCTGACAACTGCTTCTGCAGGAGCTGCAGCTGCTGCCTCTTCTCTCTAACCAGACACTGAAGATCCAAGAAAAATAAAGTTCTCACCGACCAAGTCTTTGGCAGTTACAAATGGTGGAACTTCAGAAATGAATATGGTGGAAATAACATTAAAGAAGATGTATTACCATCTGCTTTGCCTCTGCACCCCAAGGACCACCAGGTCTTTCCATCAATTTGCAGCTAAAACCTCCTAAATATGTTGTCTCCCTCTGTTAGAAAGTGAGTTCCTTTAGAGCAGATATTATCTTTTCTTTTTTTTTTCATCCCCAGAACTTTGCACAGTGCTTTGCTCATAATAATGACCTAATAAATCTCCTTCCTTTCTTCCTTTTGGAAGAAATTAAAAAAAGAACCTAAATTGGAGAAAACAAATGTACTAGCCAGTATCACTTTACTGCTGCAGAAGGTTTCACATGAGAATATGGCTTATGTGATATATTCAAGATGCTGTCCTTTTCTTTCTTTCATATGTAGGTATCTGGGAGTCACATGCATAAAGATGATAACTGAGCCTATGGGAAAACTGATGATATCACCAAATGAGAGAGTGTAAAGAAAAAAGACAAGAGAGTCCGGAATAGTGGTTTGGGGGAATAGTGGGTTGGGAGTACCCACAGTCAGTGGACATGATATGGATGAAGATCCAGCAATAGAGACTAGAAACAAATGGTCAGACAAATAGGAGAACCTAGGGAGGGTAGCGTTACAAAAACCTAGAGAAGACAGAATCCAGAAGAGTAGGTAGTCCATAATGTCAGATGCTGCAGAGAAGTCAAGAAGAATGAGAACTGAGAAAAAGTCATTAATTTGACAATTAGGAGACTGCAGATAACTGCAGAGAACACTTTTGGTTATCTGAGGAGGCTGTAAACCAAACTTCAGAGTTTTAGAAGAGATGGAGAGGAAAGGAAGTGAAGATACTAAAGGTGGAGGAGGGGGTACTATGGAAGGACTGAGGAGAGCAGAGAAGGATAAGAACAGCTGCCGTGGCAAGACAGACAGAGAAGTCATTTGGAAGGAGTAGAAGAACTTAGATGAGGGCTCAGATGAGATTGGACAGCTTAAATTTGTTATGAACCCAGTCATCAACGTTTTCTGACTTCTTCCAGCTCTCTCAAGCAGCAAAGTGAATAGGAATGAAAGAGGTAGATGGTGGGGGAGTTCCAGAGTTGGGGTTTAGTAAGCACAAGCAGTGACTGGACAAAGGAGCAAGAGATTTGAGAGCAGAGGACAGTGTAGAGTTGAACTGATTCACCAAGCCCTTGAGACTGTGAAGAGGACATTGTGCTACAGCATAGGAGATGGCCTGGGAAATTACAGAGGGGTACAGAGGCTAGAAGCCCTGATAAGGATGAAGAATAGTTTTAGGAATGGTAAGGTCTTAGAAGAGATGGAATAATGGAAGATTAAGATTGGATAAAGGAATAAGAAGTTCCAAAGTAATCTAAAAACTATGAAGTGTTTATAGGAGAATGGACTGAGTTGACATCAATATTTTCCCTCCAGTTACCACTTCATCCACGTTAAAAATTATACTCAGTGGACATAAGCACATACATTTTATATACTGGGAGTGGAACACAATTTTCCATAGCTACTTTTTCCAATGACTACCTTGTCCACATTATGGCACCAATATCAAGTTAGAAAGGCTTCATTACTCAAATCACAGGTTTCAAATGCTTGAGTTTATATTACTATAGTAGGCTGATTTTACTAAAAGCTTATCAGAATCTGTTTCCAACAAATACAACATTCAAATTTCACATTAACAGTGTTTCCACTAAAGACCTTTTAACAAAAGAATCCCTCATATACTGCTAAAGGTAATATAAGTGCTATTATAAGCAAGAGACAAAAATCGTTAGTGAGATCTTGAAAGGCATCACACAGTCATTCTAAAAAATCCTGATCATATTTTTTCCCCCTCTACTACTCAACTACCCAATCAGAACTGCCAACTCTTCCTATCAAATACATAAAGAGTATGTTAGAAGTTTACACTAAGTGGTATTATTATAACCCTGGCAAATTAGGCTGCAGAAAGTCACACTGCGTAGCTCAAACACTATATATATTTGGGTTAGAAAGTCAGCTACCATGAGTTTTTCACCTGAGAGACACTGAGATTTCCTATAATTTCAACAGCTGAGTGTAATCTAAATCCAACTAAATCAGTTACATGATAAGCAATTATGTGATCCATTAAGATAGATGGTTTATTATTAACTTTACAAAAATACCTAAATTGGAGAAAACATGTATTAGTGAATATCACTTGATTGCTATATGAAGGTTTAATGAGAGAATATGGCTTATGGGATGCATTTAAGACCATACAGGTCCTCCTTATATCATATATCTACTAGGTCCTTCTATAGTGACCTCTAGAGATCGGTGGAACAATTTTATTCCTTTTCTTAATTAATTAATTTTTTGTTTTCAACATTCAATTTCATAAGATTTTGAGTTTTAAATTTTCTCCCCTCCATCCCGAGACAGTGTACAATCTGATATAGGCTCCACATACACATTCATGTTAAGCATATTTTCCCATTAGTCATGATGTAAAGAACAATTAGAACTAATGGGAGGAACCACAAGAATGAAGCAATAAAACAAAACAACAATGGAAAAGGAGAGCAAATAGTATCCTTCCATCTACATTCAGACTCCGTATTTCTTTCTCTGGTTGTGGATAGCAATTTCCATTATGAATCTTTTAGAGCTGTCTTACATTTTTGCATTGCTGTGAAGAGCCAAGTCTATCAAAGTCGGACATCCCAAAATGTGACTGTTACTGTATACAATGTTCTCCTAGTTCTGCTCATTTCACTCTGCATCAGTTCATTTAAGTCCTTCCAAAATTTTTTTTAATTCTGCCTGCTCATCATTTCTTATAGCACAACAGTATTCCATTACATTCATCTACCACAACTTGTTCAGTCATTCCCCAATTGATGGGCATCCCCTCAATTTCCAATTCTTTGCCACCACTGGTGGAACAATTTTAACAGAGAACACATCTCTATGAGCCTCTTCCTCTGACTGCCACATAGCAATGAACAACAACACTCATGGGTTCTGGAGGATGTCCCAAGAGCACATATTAATTCATTCATTTCACAAACATTTATTAAGTGCCTACTGCATGCAGAACACTGCATGAACATGCTAAGGACACATTTCTACCATAATTCATTAAAAGGGGAATGATGCCCACATAGCACACAAACATGTCAAAAAAAAAAATCAAACTTTAGGCTGAAACCCTTTACATGGAAGCCAGAGTGGAACAACTCTTACTAATATGTGGATGGAACCTAAAATACATTTTCCATCCTAATTTTTGTGATGACCAGGTTGACTAGGCCTGCACACCCACCTGTTTGGCATGATTGACACAGTGCTGGTATTGGTTGGCCAGAGTAGAGCAGCTGAGTGTTTGCTGAGGGTTTTCCCGATAGCATTGGAGAATTTTAGCCTGCAGATCAGCACAGACTGGATGAGTCTCATAGCGCCTAAAAAAGAAACCAGAAACTAATGAATTGGTCATAAATTAGAAAACAAAAATTAAAATATATTCTTAAAAAAAAAGAACTGAAGTGAATGGGTGAATGCTTTAAAGTTAGAAAGACACAATTCTATCTTCAGAGAAAAATGGCTATGCAAATTGATGATGTTTCTCCATAGATCAGAGTGGAGAGAAGTTAGATAATTTCCACTAAATAAATCCTACTAATTGACACTATTTAAGATACTTCCACTGACTGCTTGTCTGACTTTGGGTAAGGCACTTAACCTTGCTGGATTTTAGTTCCTTCATCTGAAAAATGAGGGGGTTGAATTCAAAGTCCTTTGAAGTCCCTTCTAACTTGAGATCTATGATCCCATGAATATGAACTTATACTGGCAAGTAAAGTTGGCCACTTACTCTGAGCTACTTTGGATACTAAAGATTAACTTCTGTGACCACAGAAATGGGAAAAATGTCAAACTTAACCCATATATCACAAATTCTCTTCAATAAATGTAATTTTTTGAGCTGTCTTAAGTGTACAAATTGCATTATAACACACAAGAGGGTTTTCCCTCCCTAACAATTGATAATCTTTATAAAAGAAACATACATACATAACACAAAATTGCAAAGTAGATTAAAACGTGCTGTATAAACTGAAGCCACACTTCCCGAGTAAACTGATGGAACAAGGCTATGGGAATTGTCTATTCCCAGGATCTAGTATAGTTGCGAATAGGATAGGATAGGATAGGATAGTATGGGAGACATGATGTTTGTTGAATTGAATTACCTGCACACAGACACATATGTACACATTATATTATGGTGCCACATAATGTATGCATTTACATTATTTTCAAATTAGCTTTTTTCTATATATAGAAAGCTTATCTTCTTTTTTTAATGCTAGTCTTTTTGGGGAATCTAAAATTGGTTTCTCCAAACATAATTTCTGAATAGCATTATTTTCAATTTAATGGGTTAAAAAAAAACAAACAAACCCCTAGAGAACATGGAGAGGAAAAAAAATTTTCTTCAACAAGGAAATTCATAGGCAATAATTTGTATCCCCAATTACTTTTATCCAATGCACTAGGCTATTGCAATTTTCCTAGAGTAGAAAGCTGAAATGCAAACCAGATTACTGTTTCTTAAGGGAATTCATTCCATGACACTTCCTAAAGATATTAGATATATAGCTAGAACTGGGGAAAGTTTCCAAAATGTTATTCAACATTACCAATACTCCTATCATTCAGCTTTGTCAATTGTTAGATTTCAAAGTTCAAATACCTGTGACTTTTTTTGGATATGGATTTCTCCAGTCTCTCATCAAGAACATCAGCATTTAAGTCAGCTGTGCTTTAAAGTGTTGAACTACAGAACACAATCATGCTTAATGCCTATTTCTCCATTAATAATCCATAATTATGTGGGATATTTTTCATTTTTTGGAGTGTTTTCCTCACAACAACTCTGTGAGGTAGGTAGTACAAAAGTGTTACTATCTCCAATTAAGCTATCTTCCTCCCGCTTCCCATCTTTTTTTTTTTTTTTTTTTAACACAACAAAGCAACTGTAGATACACGAAATGACAGGTAGGAAGGAACTAATGGCCTAACATTCTGCAGAGGAAGTCAGTCTAAAGGGACAGGAATCCTCAAGAATGAAATTCTAATGACATAAGTAGAAATTATTCTGATGGAGAAGGAAAGGGAAGAGCTATCTAAAGAGACTATTGTAGTTCCACAGAAATCTAAGTGGACAACTTGGATTTTTCTTTAAAGGCATGTATGGAGGATGGAAGCAAGGTCAGGTAACTGCATGCATATAAGAGTCTGGTAAGAAAAGTATCAATAGTACTAAGGTTTGCAGTGAGTTGAATCTAAATGCTAAGGACCAAAAAAAGGACTTTCAGAAAGGTAGTCTGGAGCAAAAAGAGGCCTAATGGAGGAAATAAAATTGCTGCTTGGAGAAGGGAAGGTAGTGACAATGGTTGATGGTAAGAATGCTGAATGACTAAACTCTTATTTTGCTTTTCTGTCTTCTTAGGAAAATGATCTTTGGATTAAAAGGGACAGAACAAAAGAGATGAACAAAGCTGAAACTGAAGACAAATGAGGAGAGAGGAATAGAGTGCCTAGTTCTCAATGCATGCTAGTCACCAAAGCCAAATGAATTACATCTTATGGTACTTGTAGACATGGTTGCCAAGATGTTTTTTGCTATCTTCAAAGGATCTTGGAGAAGAGGAATATGATACAAGACTGGTGAAGAGTAAACATCCTGATTTTCAAAAAAAGGAATAAAGGTCATATTTTGTGAACTGTGAGTAAATGAGATTGACTTCTATTCCTAATAAAATTCTAGAATATATTATTGAAGCATTTTGAGCATTTGCAAAGGGAAGTTGAGATAACCCAAGTATACTTCATAGCTCAATGGAGTGCTTTCCTCACAACGTATATGTTTTATATATGTATATTTTAGTATTCTTTATAGTTCAACGAAAAGCATTTTATAAAATTTCTCATGTTATCTTTGCAGACAAGATGGGAAGGTGGCATCTAGACAATAGATTTTGAACAGCTAGAAAAACCAGACACAAAGATAGGTCAGTAGATAGATCCATGTCAACTTGAGAGAGGTGTCTTGTGTGCAGCCCCCAGGTATCTGTCCATAATATTTTTTTTAAAGGCAACAGGGGGTAAGTGACTTGCCCAGGGTCACACAGCTAGTAAGCGTCAAGTGTTTGGTCTGAGGCCACATTTGAACTCAGGTCCTCCTGACTTCAGGGCCGGTGCTCTATCCACTGCACCACCTAGCTGCCCGCTGTCCATAACCTTTTGCCATTAAACTTTTCATCAATGATTTGGATAAAAACATAGAATGCGTTTTTATCAAATGGGCAATGACAGGAGGGTTTTATGAGCCTGCTGGACAAGATAATCAGACACCAAAATAACCTCAACACACTAGATTAATAGACTGAAGATGAAATTTATTAGCCCTTTTTAATTTGAGTTTAATGTAAATTTCTACACTTGAGCTCAAAAAACTTAATTTCACAAGCACAAGATAGGAGAGGTATGTCTAGGCAACCATTTCTGTGAAAAGGAGCTGGGGATTGTAATGGACTACAAACAATCTCAACATGAATCCACAATGTAGCAGGGCCACCAACACCACAAATGTGATTTTAGGCTACATTTAGAGATGCATGGTGTCTAGAATGGTCATAGTACTATGGTATTCTGCCCACACTCTACATCAGGAATACTGTGTTCAGGTTTGGGTACTTGGACTCCATCCCTGACTCCCCAACTCTGACAGGTGAGCCTTTTGCCTTCTCTTTCTATGGTCTAGACCTCCACATAAACTTCCTCCAGGCCCCTCACCATGACCACCCTTGGGTTCCCCCCTTCCCTGTGTTCCTTTACAGGTATCTTCTCCCACAAGAACCTAAGTTCCTTGTAAACAGTGTTTTGTTTGTTTGCATTTGACTCCCCAGCACTTAACTCTCTTTCTCCTCTCTTCATCCCTCTCCCCCTTCTCCATCCCTCCCTCCCTCCTTCCCTCCCTCCCTCTCTCTCTCTCTCTCTCTCTGATGGCCAGTTGAAGGGATTGGGGGTGTTTGTTCTGCAGAAGAGAACTCAGAGTGGAGTAGGAGGAAGGGAGGCATGAAAGGAATCTTCACATATTCAAAGGACTGCCAGGTTGAAAAAAATATTAGATTTATTCTGCTTGAGTTCAGAGAAAACTGAGAGGAATAATCCTATTTATTAGAGTTATCCAAAAGCAGAATGGAAAACCTTAAGAGAAGGTGTATCAGTGGAAATCTTTAAGCCAAGGCTGACTAAGATAACCACTAGCCATAATACTTTTGAGGGGATTTTCCTGGGTTAGACTCTCCATCCTCTGAGATCCCTTGGCTTGACAACAATCAGTGTTAGTATCTACCCAGACTCAAACTTAGGTATTTTGACCACAAGTTCAACATCTTCTCCACTATAGTAAATAAATTAGGATGAAGAACAGTGTAACTCTGTGTTACAAATATATAACTAATTGCCCTGAGAAATCAAAACAAGAGAACCAGGCCATTTTTAAACTCAGTGATAATAACTTGGTAATCTCACCAGTCTATTAATTAGATTAAGGGGGAAAAAATGGAATAAAGAATGTTGGACAAATGTGTTATTTATCCCCTCTATCATCACATGGAGAAGACTGTACGGCATAGGCTGCCATATAATTAGATATCACAGAGGAGATATATACCATTCACATACCCATCATAATTCATTTAATAACAAAAAAGGTCTTTGAATAAGGTACTTTAGCCTAGAAGTAAGCATTTACTGAGCTGTGCTATTCGATCTCATGTGTTAGTTCTAATTTCAAATGTGTCAAAATATACTTTTATTATCCACAAGTCACTTATGTTTCTCTTTCAAGTCTCTTGATTTCCTGTTTGTTGATTACTTACATTCTATGTATTTACACATACACTAGTCTCTTTACAAACTTCAATCCAGTATTGATGACTGGAAGTAAGGATGGGGGTGAGGCACAAAGGGTGGAAACTAACATAAGTGTCCCCCAGTGGCTGGAGCACACCCTGGACATCTGCCTGGCTTAGTACATGAGGGAAAGGCTCTGCTTTACTATTGATCTGGGATGTCTGTTATGCTGCCCTAATGCACTGTTTTTACTTTGGGAAAATGCTAAATGAGATTACAGTCTAACATTAGAAGGCCATAAAACACAGGCCATGGCACCTTCCATTCAAGAAAGAGTTTCAAAGAAGCTTCCAATATGCATTATGGTAAACTGTCCACATCGTCAGCAATTGATTTTTATTGAATGCTTTCATTCTTGGCTGATGAATAAAGCTACTACTAGAGAAAAATAATAATAGGGAGAGTGTCAGGACACCTTGGAAGTAAAATTAAATCTTTGCTTCTAGAACATTTTAAAAAATGAAGTTTCTTTTTA